GACTTAAGACTGCTTTTGTGCTCCAAGGTCACAAATGTTAGTGGTATGTCTCTATATTTGAGTAGTTTGCATTCTTTTGGGAACACGTTGTGTAGTGTGACATGCTTTTACTTTTTTATTTTATTTTTTAATTTAAAACAGTATTTTATATAATATTTTTAAATAATTTATTAATATTAATTTAATAGTATTTAATAATATAATTTAGAGACTTGTTATAAATCAACTTGCAACAGGGCTATAATTATATATATATATATGTATGTACATATATATGAAACTCCTGCCCAGTGCAATTTTTACTAGTTTTTTTGCATTTTAATTTACATTCTATGTATGTGTGTGTTTGTGTTATGGTAGAGTATGCCAGCGGTGGATCTCTCTTCGACTATCTGTCCAGTGCCGAGAGTGAAGACATCAGTATGAAGCAGATTATGACCTGGGCAATGGACATTGCTAAAGGTATTATATACACTCTCACACACATAAATCAAAAAAAAAAAGTAGAAGAGATGCACAACAAAACACACTTACACTGGAAGTCTAGCAGAAAGGCTTATACTGTTTTGAAAATGTAACCATAAGGACTAGGGATGTGCCCCACGACTAATTTCACTAATGTTTAAGCAGAGATTTTGTAACAGACTAGTCGACTAAAAAAAACAGTTTGTGTAAGCAATACATCAAAAATAGGCTACTTAATCAATGAATCAGACAGTCAAATCCCATATTGAATCCTGCTGAAATATAGGTCATATTACATATAGACAAAATGTGTTTGCATTACATTACGCTAAACTTGCATTCACTTAATCAACTTTAGCTAATATAGATATATTTATTAAAATAAGCTGAATCAATAGGCATTGCTGGAATAATAAGTAGAAACCCACTATACTTATAAACAAAATGTGTCAAATAAATGTTAGTTAGCAACGGTAGAATAACAAGCCTATACAATAAGCTTAATTGTTATATGCTAGTTTGACATAGCCTACACAAAATGTTTCAGATTTCAAGATTTAGTTGACAAGTCTCGCACATCCCTAATAAGGACAGGAACATACAAGCGTGCGGTTCATACTTAGAGGAGACCAGGTCTCCCATCCTGGTCATGCTGCTGTGTTTTTATGATTTTGGTGGGGTTTCTGGTGCTGCTTAGACTGGCAAACCATCTGAACAACCACTCTGACCAGCTTAAACCAGTTAAGGCCAGCAGGGCTGTAAACATTATTACAGTTTAACTAACTTTAACTTCCAGCTGTTTCTCTGACCACACTTGTCCTGTGAGAGAAAACAAACTGTTTACATTCATGCATGTGCCTCTTGAAGAAACTCATGAATTTGCCTTCACATACTCGAGTGAAATATGTTGCAGTGTTTGGGTGAACATGGGTAATATAACACTGGTGTGATATAATCAGTTACCAATCTTGTTATATCTGATCTGTCAAATCTGCGAGAAAGGACCCGTTTGCTTTTAATCTGTATTCATAAATCACTGTTTACACGGAGCAAACAACACCAGACGAGAATTGAAAGCGTAATGTTTAACCACAAGTTTGTCTGCCTAGAAAAGGACATTATAGAAGCACACTAACAAGAACACAAGCTTGACATTTTAGCGTTTAAACGTGCCTGCTAGGCCTCCGTTGTAAGCACACTACTGTAAACACATTTCCTGTGTGTTTCTACACACTGAGAAACAGGAGAAGCAACATATGTTCCATTCCTTCAGTAAAATAATTACTATTTCAAAATCAAACTCTCTCAATTTGTGTGTTTTCTCTCATAGGCATGCATTATCTGCACGCTGAGGCCCCGTTTACAGTCATTCACAGAGACCTCAAGTCCCGAAATGGTATAACAGTTCTCTCGATATATATTTGATGCTATATTTTCTTTGGCCTGACCACCTCTGTGTTTTCATTCCAGTTGTGTTGACAGCAGATGCAGTACCCAAGGTACATGATGACCGTCTGTTCATACAAACAGAACCAAGCTGTCTATATGTTATTAGTCAAAGATGAAAAATCGACCTGCTAGTTAATTGGGCTCTTCATGTCCTCAGATCTGTGATTTCGGGGCGTCTAAGTTTCATTCTCACACCACCCACATGTCTCTGGTGGGCACGTTTCCCTGGATG